AAAATCACACTCCTCCCAGAACAGACAGCGGAGCATCCTCATCTTTGCCTCAGTGCACTGTATTTGTCAATAAAAGACTGGCTCGATTCAAGGTACAATCGCATCTCGACTGGCTGTCACTGACAATGCTGCTACAGACAGCCTCAAAGCCTGACAACCACTTTCTGAACTAAATGGAAATACAGGGACTAATATTTGCTAACATCATTAATTCATTTTTTTCTCCACCCCCCCTTCTTCCTTTATCCACAATGTCAAGATGTATACCTTTAAATTGTTGTCAGCCATAAAACAGAAGTCGTGTCCCAGTTCAGAGGTTAACATATAATGACAGACACATTAAAAAACCCTGTCCAATGCCTCACTGACAATTTCAGCTCCATCTTCTCTTCAACGAGACAGCAGCTCAAACTCACTTATAAGCTTTAACAACATTAAAGTCTAATCATGATTGAAAAATAAAGGAGAAAGAGAAGATAGTTTTATCATACTAAGCATTATGGAAAGGGAAAACAATTAGAGACAGACATTTTCTTTGTGAGGGTTTTGAGTTCACCTTCTATTTGGGTCTTAAAAGTCTCCCATGATCACAGCACGATCCATTTATCTTCTTGCATTTTAGGAGAGCAGGATGAAAATTATTGTCTAAGAGGGAGGTAGTTTCCTGTCGGGGGTTAGTTTGGTGGGCCAACCTCTTGCTATATCCCTGAAGACAGGACAGGGATTTATTATTTTTCATCTCTGAGCCCAAGCTTTGTTCCAATCTACACAAAAAAGGCTACAAAAGATTTAACAAGATGGTACTTCCAAGGGCCCTTCCGATGACTCACTTCAAACTCACGTGCCAGGACTCATTATAGAGATGCAAGTGAACTTACCATCAGCGATTAGCTGGGATTGAACTGGACCAAATGGTACACAGCTATTGTATATGTAGGGCAAGGGACTCAAGAATCTGACAGAAGGAAAGGTATAGAGAAGTCCTACAAAGATACTACAAAACAGCAGGA